GGCAATTGGGATTAAGTGACTTGCCCAGGGTCACACAGCTAGTAAGTAGTTGCCCTTTATTCTTGAAGAGGACCAAAACAGCATTACTATGTTGGAGTCAAGGCACAGTGTGTCCAACTGTCACTGATCAGGCCAATATGAGTTTGAAAGGTTCTACCACAGGTCAGGCACAAATAGTCCATATGAACATTTGGAGTGGTGGTGTCTCTAAATCTGAGTTACTGCAATCTGCTTTGCTCATAGAGCACAGCACCTTCTTTAATGTGGGCACACCATGCTGAATGGTTCTGTACCAGTGTCTTTCATGCCTCCCAAATGATTCCTAAGTTTTTGGGTTTTTTTTTTAGGCAATTGGGATTAAGTGACTTTCCCAGGGTCACACAGTAAGTGTCAAGTTTGGTCTAAGGCTGGATTTGAACTCAGGTCCTCCTGACTTCAGGGCTGGTGCTCTATCTACTGTGCCACCTAGCTGCCCCAGATTCCAAAGTTCTTTAGGGAGACTTTGAGAGTGTCCTTGTATCATTTCTTCTGATCACCATGTGAGTGCTTGCCCTGTGTGAGTTCTCCATAAAATAGTCTTTTAGGCAAGTATATATTTGTCATTTGAACAACATGGTCACCCCATCGGAGTTGTGCTCTCTGCAGTGAAGTTTGAATGCTTGGCAGTTTAGTTTGAGAAAGGACCTCAGTGTCCAGTATCTTATCTTGCCAAGTGATCTTCAGAATCTTCCTAAGACAGTTCAACTGAAGTGGTTCAATTTTCTGGCATGGTGCTGGTAGACTGTCCAGGTATCACAGGCATACAACAATGAAGTCAGAACAACGACTCTGTAGACCTTCAGTTTGGTAGTCGGTCTAATACCTCTTCTCTCTCGCACTTTCCTTTCAAGCCTCCCAAACACTGAGCTAGCTCTGGCAATGTGTGTGTCAACCTCATCATCTATGTGGACATCCTTGGAAAGCATGCTGCCTAGGTAAGTGAACTTATCCACAGGATAACTTCTCCATTTGCTGTAACTGGTGGTTCCACGTATGGATGGTGGAGTGCTGGTTGGTGGAGAACCTCTGCTTTCTTTGTGCTAATTGTTAGGCAAAAATCTTATGGGTAATGTCTTAACTTGATCATAAATTGGATTTAAGTGAGGCAGAAGTCATCAGCCTCAATCTCTCTTCCAAAGTCATCAAAGTCCAGTGGCAAGACAAAAGTCAAGATGACTGGCAATGGCTTGGGATGTAGTGGATGATCTAGGCATCTTCAATGTCTAACCAAGCTCTAAGTAGTCCATAGCACCTGCTTCTGCTGCCTTCACGGTAATTGGAACAAATTGTTCTCATCCACCCATTCAGCCGGGGGAAGTCTTCACACGCTTGGGGGTAGACATTCCCTTAACTCACCAACAGGTTTGAGGCCTGTCGGTTACCCTCAACCTGCTTTAGCCCATCTGCTGAAACAGTTCACTCGGGTGTGGCTGCTGTGCAAGCTAAAACTTCTTGGAGCCACAGGTAAGAGTCTGCTACAGTCTTCGGCGGGAGTTGCTACTAAAGTCCATTAAATAGGCTGCAGCAGTCCCATGGCAATTATGGCAGTCACTTGGATGCCCCCCAAGGTAGAACCTGGGCCAAAGGCATTAAAGGGAACTCTATTGTTTCTCACATGGGGGACCCCTGGTGCTATAGTCTCTTGTGCACTGGTATCTAGGACACCCAGAGAATGTCTAGTTTCCCATCTGGCCATTCAATCTTGATTTAGACATATGACCCACAATCCTCTGGAGGTGCAGCTAGTTTGGGAACTAGACTCCACCCAGATTGCTGTTTACTAGATTTGAAGGGAGTGAGGTCAGGGTAGAGGGTAGCTATCTGGTGGATGTCTTCTTCATGTACTTCGGAGGCTGGTGGGAAAACAAGCTTGGGGGCCAGAGGTTTTGCAGAGCATAAATTCTCTGAGCTAGCTCATTCTCATTCTCTTCCTTCATTTTTTACTGCTGTCACCAGTTCGTAGTGTAGGGGAGTTCAGATGAAAAGCATCAGCACACAAACTTTATTGCTACTCAACAAGGACAGGACAATAACTGCTAGCATGGATACTCTTGGCATGTGGCTTCCCCATTCACGGTGGTCAGCACACAGTGGGGGAGAGAATAATCATGCTCCTGTCAGAGGCTTCAAGACTCTTAGGACTGGGACATTGCGACACAGCCAGTATGAAACCATAGTTACTGCCTGTTATCTATAGGACCAGCAGAGTAAGGGTATCTTCTAGGTTACCTAATATAGAGCGAGGAGTGTGGGACAAGGGAGTAGGAATGAGGACCAGGGAAGTGAGAACCTTAATGGTACATTGAGCAAGAGGCTGAAAGGGGTTAATGACCAGTTTCGGAGTTTATTAGTCTTGGCACATTTGCATCCTAAGGTGCTGGGGCCATACCAGTCGAGCCAGTTTTCACCAGTAGACACTACTTCTGGTAGAGCATGATATAGAATTGGAAGTGCCTTGGAGACTACATAGCACTCTTGAACATTCTCTAGGGGGAGAGAGGGAATAAGCATTTATTTAAGCACCTAGTAGGTGCCAGGCTGACACTTTTATTTCATTTATTTTTTTATTTGTTTTGGCAATTAGGGTTAAGTGACTTGTCCAGGGTCACACAGCTAGTAAATGTCTGAGACCAGATTTGAACTCAGGTCTTGCCGACTCCAGGATCAGTACTCTCTCCATCATGTCAACAGCAATCTCTACTTGGTTCTAGTTTGCTAACCATGGGGGTAGAGGGTTTTTTTTTTTTTGATTAGTATGACTTTGGCCATTCTTGCTCTAGATGTGCTCTGGTGGCGTTACTCCACTCACAGCAGCTGGTAAGACAATGCTGTCCTCTTGGGTCATGTGGTCATGTGAAAAGGCTTTGATCCTTGGCCTCTATGTTTGTTCTTTTCCATTTTAGGTGAAAGGATTGGAACCACTAATTCTGTGAGTTTCAAAAGATCAATAGGGCTCTCTAGCCTCTTATCTTTTCTGAGTTCAGGTATGCAGTCAGCACAGCATTGATATACTGAGGACCAAGTAGCGGTTTGGGACTAGCATCCAGGACCATTCCAAACCTACACACAAATGTGAACTTGGTGACATCAATTTATTTAAGAACCATGTTGAGTTAACCTACTTTCCACAGCGAAAGTGGCTTAGGAAAGATTGTATTTCCTAGATGTTGGGAGCAAACATTTGTAGTTTTGTTCTTTTCCCATCTTCAAAGTAAATACCCCTCTGTAAAATTTAACTAATGTGATTAAACATAACTGGGTTGCTCCTTACTGGCACCTAACAATGGGAGGAACATGGATAGTGGAGACTTAAGCTGATGGCATTGAAGAGACATGTTACTATCTCCCATGTAGTTATTTGTATGTTGTTGCCTCCATTAGGTGGTGAGCTCAAAGGCAGGGGCCATTCTTTTTTCATCCCTAGCACTTAACAAAGTGTCTGGCACATCATCATGTGCTCAATAAATTCAGGCAGCTAGGTGGTACAGTGCAGAGTACTAGGCCTGGAATCGGGAAGGCTCATCTTCTAAGTTCAAATCTGGTCTCAGACACTTACTAGCTGTGTGACCCTGGGCAAATCACTTAACCTTGTTTGCCTCAGTTTCCTCATCTGTAAAATTAGCTGGAGGAAATGGCAAACCACTCCAGTATCTTTGCCAAGAAAACCCCAAATGGAGTCACAAAGAGTTGGATGCAACTGAACAACACAAATTCATGGCCAAGTCCTCAATGCCTTCTCTAAAATGTGGCCCCCATAACTGAACACAGAGCTTCAAGTGTGGTCTAACCAGTACTGAACACTACAGAATTACCTCCTAGGTCCTATGCCTCTCAATGTAGTTCAAGAACATTTTTGGTTTCTTTAATACACTATACACCATACAACCCACGTTGTATGGACAGTCCAAAAAATACTCTCGATCTTTTAAAAAGATTTTTAATCTTTACATTGTCGAAACTGCCCTCCCCCCACCCTTCTTTCTCTCAAAAAGTCATTCCATATAACAAAAGAATTTTTAAAAGAAAAAAAGAGGAAGAAAAAGCCATCAGCAAAACCAATGTATTCAACAAATCTGAAATTATATGCAACGTTTCACATCCATTGATCTCCCACCTCAGGAAAAACGGGGGTAAGGTGGGGGAGAACGGGAATGTGTACTGCTGGAGGGGTCTTCTCTTTTTATCATTATAGTCATTGTGTATTATTGTTCCCTTGGCTCTGCTCACTTCACTTCGCCCAAGTTTGTCTTTGTAGGCTTCTCGGTAACCACGTTTTCATTTCTTATAGCATTATATCCCATTACATTTACGTACCACAATTTGTTTGGCCATTCCCCAGTTGATGGACATCCTTGTTTCATTTGTTGCTCCCACAAAAAGTGCTGCTACATGTATTTTAAGTGTATATGCCTACTAGTGGAATCTCCCTTCTATCTTCTTCAAACGAATTGCCATGCAACTGGCTTGCCCTCTTCACTCCAAGGCTTTGACTCCAGCCCCCAAACATCACCACCACCTCACGCCTATCCCCAGACAGCCCTGCCCTATGGCTGCCCAGTTCTAGCCACATTCATGGCCCCTGCTTGAACACTAATACCTCGGGAATTTAAAGCTCTTTACAACCTAGCTCTAGCTTACCTATCTGAATGTATTCCATAGTACTTCTCTTCATGCACTTGAGGACATAGCATCTCCCATTTCTCTGCCTCTACCTAGGCTGTGCACTGTACCTGGGGTGCACTCCCTTCTCTCCAGAAGCCTGGCTCAAGCAGCATCCAGGAGGTGCCTCTCCTCATCCTCTTGGTGCTACTGCCTATCCTATCCTCCATTATTTGTATCCAAACTTTTAAAATTAAGTGCTTGTGGAAGGTGCTGAGTATATGGGCAATCCCTTTGCAAGTCCAGGGGAGCCCTCTGCTACCTTCCTTTCAATCTTCTACTCTCTCCATCACAATCCTTTATTTTTGATTCTGGCTCAGTGTTTTCCCTCTCCATGGAAGAGAAGGCCCCAAGAACAATTTCACTGGGGGGAAGGTAGTGGCAGGTGAGACCATTTTAAAGTATTGAACAATTTCTACACTATCAGCAGTGAGTGGAACTCTAGTAGGCAAGCAAGTTGAGCTGTTGGAACACTGGCCAAAGCATCAGGCTTGGTTGATGGACTGACTCGACAGAAGGCTAAACTGCCTTTGTTTCATGGGCTGGCTCTCCAGCCATCTTCACTCACTCTGGAAACAGTCTGTCCTGAGAGGACACATAAATCAATTGCTCTATGACTCCCCTCACCAGCCCTGTCTTCTCAGACCAAAGCACTACTCCCGGGTCACCAGGTCCCTCTATGTATGTCATCTGTCTTCTTCTATCAGAATCTAAGCCTCCTGAAAGCATGGGGTGGCTTACTTCTATTACTGTCCCCAGTACTTAACATTTACCTGGGGACAGATATAGCCATCCAGAACATCTGGACATTCATTCAGCAGATGGCTCTCTGAGGAGGCACAGGGAAGAGCATCTTCAGAAACAAAGGAGATAGAAAACCAACCGGATTTTCGGTTTTGTTTTCCTTTAAGAGGAAAGGGGCAAGAGAAGAGTGAGGGGTGGACAAAGAGGCAGAAGGCTTGGGTAAGAGGGCTCCTGCCTCCCAGCTTAGCAGCTCTAGCTGACTGAGGGAAGGGGGTGGGGGGCACAGAGATGTTTCCAACTCCATGGGAGCCCACCACTGGAGGGCTCAGAGCATCAAGGACAGGACGAAGCCCACCATGTCCCACTATCTCCATTGGAGATATTCTGCAGATGCAGACTCCTTTGTAATAGGATGGGATAGTGGGCTTCTCCCTATTTATAGGCAGCAGATACGGGAGGAGAGCCTGCCAGCACCTCCAAGGGGGGAACTGAGATGATGGCCAAAGACCCCCATCCAATCTCTTGGTGGAGGGCTGGGTTGGTATATGCCTTGACAGAATGGGGAGCCCCTGCTCCTGGCAAGAGCCCTGGGAACCTTGTGGAGGCATCTATTGCTTCTCTGCCTGCCAAACACAGTTTGTAACCCAGCCCCAACCCTGCTGCTTTCCCAAGAGTTCTCCCTGTGCAGTTAAGAGTCAAGGCTGCAGCTTTTTGGCAAGAGAAAGCAGGCAAGGCACAGGGCCCATTGCAGGGCTAGGGTGTAGCCTGAGGTTTCCAGGAAGGGGAGAGGGCTGTGGGGAGGGGTTGTGAAGGTGGAAGAGCCAAAGCAGCTTGCTCCAGGCCCCTCCTGAGCAAGGTCTTGCAAGGCCTCTGAACCCAGGAAAGACTCCAACCCTCCCACCCCCAAAGAACAACACCCACCCCCTCTGCTAACCCCCAAACTAAATCTCACTCCCTGCACGCTAGGACCTTGGGGAAGTCCTTTCATTTTCCTAGGTCCCAGATGCAATCAAAGGGAGAAAGGGTCCTTCAGAGTCCACTGGGACTAGCCTTCTGAGTTCTTAGATTCTCTGCCTGCCCCTTCAGTAGGCACATGGATCCACACTCTTTCTAATGCTTTCTCTCTCTCTCTCTCTCTCAGCTGTGGCTGGGCTCTGTTGCTTGGCCCGGAAAAACAGATTTCTAACTGGGGATACCCATCCCTCAAGCCTCAGGGACAGGCTCCTCCCTAGCACCAAAGCAGACAAACCCCAATGCCCATCCAATGGACAGTACGAATAGGGTCTTGTGGGTCCCTAAGGCGGTCATAATGAAGAGGCACAAAGGCAACAGCTGATGCCAGTGTATCCTCTTCATGGGACACCCTGGTGGTCAGCCCCATGGTCACCCTTTGGCTCCCAGCCCCGGACCGAGCTAGGGGATGGGAGGGGGATGTGCTGAGACCAGAAGAATCCAGTCTTGCACTAGGCCTTGGCTTGTGAACGGCCCAGCACCCCCAGGTGGGAAGCACACACCCTAGCGAATGTGGGCCATCTCCTCCAGAAAGGGGGTTTTCATGCAGCCTGTGCACAGCTGGTCCATCCAGAGGGGGGCCTCATGCTGCAGAGGAGTGCGGCGGGGAAAGAAGGTGTAGCGAAGGTCATAATTGAGCAGGCAGCTGATGGAAGCCATGTAGAGGTCTGAGAAGCGGCAGAGTCGGCGAGAGAAGTAGGTGGGGTTGTGGCAGGTTCGAAAGATGCTGCCAAACTGAGGGTTGAACAAATTCTTGGTGACAGCCCTGGGAGAAAATGGAGAGTGTGAGAGAACTCCAGCTCACAGTGGGGCAAGGCCCTGGGGGCCTGGTTTTAGCCTCACAGACACAGCCTAGGGAGTGACTTCTTTCTTTTAACTGTTACAGACTGAACTCCTGACAAATGTAAGCAAACTGGACCTTGGAGATGAATTTGACTGTGACATCCAAACTGGTGACATTCCCCTAGAATGGAAGTCTTTGAGGATTGAGGCTGTTTTGTTGACGTTTTTTTAGGCCCAGCACCTAGTCCACCCAGTGTCTGGTGCACACTTCTTCAATTGAAGGATAGGGAAACAAAGTGTCAGGGAGAGTGGAGGGGGAAGGGCAGGTGTCAGGACACGGACCATGCCCCTAGGCCTTGTATGCCAGTGCATCATGGGGCCAGAGGTCTTGGGAGGTTATTCACTCAAGGGGCTGAAGTCACCTCCCACCCTAGGGAAGTCTAGCCCAAGGCCCATCCTCCCCCAGACCCGGCCACACTGGCCTTGGAACCTCAAAACACCTCATCTCCTGTCTCTCCTTCATCCAGTCTTGAAGCACCTGCTGGGACTCAGCATCTCGAAACATCTGGGCAGCAACCAAAAAGAAAACATTCTGGTTTAAGTCCTACTACATCACAGAATCCTAACTCTGATCTCGTCAACCCTCTGGATGAGCTAGAGGGCCAAAAAGGCTGCTGCTGGATGTGAAGGGGGATGGAGGACCCAGCAACCAAAAAGCTATTGCCAGAGCTGCCTCTGGCTTCTAGTGCTTAACCTGGTAACATTTCAAAGTATCACAAGCAGTTTTCTGCTATAGCTCCACCACTCTACGCCGTATCTCTCGGTCCAAAGGAACCAGCCGGAGGGAGAGCACTGACCTGCATACGTTCCAGTAGGCCAGTGAGGGCCTGTAGCCATGTCAGTGACTGAGAATACTGCTCTGTGTTGACAATCTTGGTTTCAGTCTCCAGTTCTGGAACAATGGCCCCAGTACGCCAGCCATGTCGAAGCATTAGGTCCTTGGAGAAGGCAGCAATGAGGCAGGGAAAAGAACAGTGTGGTGAAGAGGACAGTCATGGCCTACCCCCCTGGCGCCCCTTTGGGCTCAATGAATCTGCCTAGTTATTTTCCCCTAGGCCCTGAGAAGGGATCCACTACTGCTGTCCATGCAGCCCCTAGTGTGAAGTCCCCCTCTCCCTCTTCTGGCTCCCTAAAAAGACTCACTGCCAGATCACTGTAGAGATGGTCACCAAAGTAGAAGACTTTGGATCCTCGCCAACCAGTCAGCCGCAGGAAATCAAACAGGTTCCCCTAGGGATGGAGCAGGAGATTCAGGTTTAGGGGGAATTGAAAGTTGGAGTGGGGAGCAATTATAGAAGGACATAGATGCTTCACTGGGAAATGCTATTCCTCCCTGAAACTCACTGACCTTTAACCTTGCTGTCCTGCCAGCACAAGCCCTGTGCACCGTGCTGCTCTACCCCCAAATCAGGGCAGTCTACTCCTCCCCTAAATCACAGAAGTGGCACAGTCATGACCACTGCAACCTCTTCTGAACTGTACCTAAAGTCACTGGCACCATTAGGGTCCTCTACTATACAACATGGCCTCAGTAAGGGATGCTGCTCAGAAGGCAGCCCTAAGGTCAATTCCATTTCAATTTCAACCCGAGTTTGAGTTTTCTGGCCATCCCTTCCCAAATCCTTTCATTGCATAATCTGGCCTCAGGAACTTCCTAGCTGTGTGACCCTAGGCAGCTTACTTCTCCTCTGTTTGCCTCATCTTAAAAATGGGGATAACAGCACCTACCTCCCAGGCTGTTGTGGAGATCAAAAATCAAATGAGGTACCAAGTACATTGCTTTGTAAACCTTAAAGCACTAGATAAATGCTAGGTAACATTATGACTCTGTTTCCTTTCTCTGATTTGCAGAAGTACCAATCTTATGTCTTACTATTACTGGTGATGATGAAAGGAACGACTTTGAAGGAGGGAATCTTTTCAGTTCCTCCCCTTTTAAGCTGCTTTCTTCTGTAAACAAGTCAGGATTGGTGGTGATGGGAGTAATTTAGATCTTTGTCCCAAGAAGGCTCCAAAAAAGGAGATGTGAGAGGTGCACCCTAGTGCCAGGAGGACCAGCCTGGTTTTTCACTGTGGCTAACTCAGACTGAGGAAAAGGAAAAGATTTCCTCCTCTTTGTCTGAGGATCTTGTCCCAGACTGGACCTCAGCTCCTAGAAATGCAACAACCAGAATGCTGTCTCTGGGAAACATTTTTCTATCTCTCAAACTGAAGAGCCTAAAGCCCTGAGTGTTCCAAACCACTTTTCCTTCCTGAGCATGTGCCCTGAGGAGAGTGGGCACCTCTTCTGTTGGGGTACCTTTAAGTGTGAAGGGCAAAGGCTGGGTGGAGCCTGAAGGGGTTACGGTTTGAGAAGTGTGTATGTGTGTGTGGGGTGTGGGTGGAGCGGGTCCTCCAGGCCAGGGCAATGAGTCATACAATTCCTTGAGACCTTTCTGATACTCCCAGAGTGTGATGTCACTGACAATCTCTGCATCTGCCACATTGAGGAGCCCTGAGGTTAAAAATAGCTGTCACAGGTGACAGGAAAAGGTATGAAGTTTGAAGCCTTCCTGCTGAAACTGGAGGCCTACACCCTGCACACTGGAGGTGGTTTTGATTCTTTCCCTTTTTGCCTCCAATCTCTGACTTGAACCTTCACTCTGAGTAGAGCCTGAAGCCACACCCTCCAAAGTACCAGCATGGTAACCTCATACTCTCTTGCAGAAATGAGGTTCAGTGCCTGTTGTCCCAAGTTAAGAGCTGGCCAGGAAGGAACCTGAAGCAGCTGCTGTCAGAACCCAAGCCCCTGGCTCCAGCTGGAAGAGATACTGTGGTGCTTGAGAAACAGAGGTGGTAGACACAGTCCTGGAAACAGTTATGATAGCCATGCAAGCGAGTGGAGAGAAGCAGGAGTGCCAATCTAGGCCCTTGGGACAATGGGCATAGGTCTCACCTGCTTGTATACCTGGCCCTTTTCTAGCTTGATGATCTTATCCCACTGAAGGTCTCCATTCTCATCCAATCGTCGGAAAGGTCTGCCAGAAAGAAAGGACAGCTCTCAGGCACCCGGGGTCTTCCCTTTCCTCCTGGGATAAGGGAATTCTCCCATATTAAATATCCAGTCTTTGGCAGGAGATGGGTACATGTGGCCCCAGAGCTCAGGCCACTGGGGGGGGGCTGCCCCGCCTCTTATTCCCCTCTCAAAGAGAATGCCCACTCCTTATACTTCTGCCAGGGTGGGGCATTTGGTCCTCTGGCTCCAGTTCTGCCAGACACTGTTGCAAGAGTTTATGAACACTATTGGGGTATAGAAGATTCTAGATGTTTGGAGCAGGTTACATAGAGGAACTGGGCCTGTAAGAAAGAGAAAGAGTATTTCTCCCCTTACCCCCCTCAAAAAAAAAAAACCCAACCAATTAAAGGCCCTTCAACAGAAATGGAATATTTTTAGGGGGAAATTTTAAGAGGTCATTTTGGGTAGAACATTTGTGAATGTCAGTGAGCTGTGAAGCTAGCGCCTCTGTCTCAGTACACCTCCCTTCCCCCCCTTTATTTGGCACTGGTCTGTCACCTTTGCTCTGGGGCAGGAATTCTCTCACTCCTGTCTTCAGGCTACAGAAACTGGGGGGGAGGGGGTATGTCAAGTGCTATTGGGACAATATGGGAGAGAGACAGAGGAAAAGAAGCAGGCAGCAAACCTGAGGCTACAAAGGAAATTCCAGAGTCTGGGAGTCTAGGGTCCTCCCACCTGGCCCAGGGTCGCCCCTCCCCCCACAAAGCAGCCCTGAGTTGCTACAGTGGCTGATGGCAGGAGGCTGCCTTTCCTCCTTTCCCCCAACACTCAAAAACAGAGAAGGGACTTCCTTTATTCTAGGAATAAGCAGGAGCAGAGGAAGCCAGCAAAGACTTGCCCTGATCCAGGCTTATGATGCTTTTGTTTGGCCTCAACCCAGAGAATACTGTAGCGGGAGGTTTGGGAGGGTCACATCGTACAGTTAGTCAAATCAATGGGAGGAAGGGCCAAAAACCCAAACAAAGAGCCCCTAGGGTTCAGATCAAAGAAAGGAGCCAGTACCCTAGCCAAAGGATTCATTCAGCCCAACCAGGAGCAGCTGAGACTGTCCCTAACCTTCCCTGAGAGCTCCCCTAGGCCCCAGCCACCAACTCTTCTGGGCCTGTGTTCTCAGAACATCTGCCTTTGAGTAGATCCTGGTCTCTGCTTTATTTCTCAACCCCCTCCATCGCTCACAACTGCTCTTCCTTGAAAAACTAAGGGAAAGTGGACTTGGCCTATCAAGGAGAAAGCACATTAAGGCTAGGCCTTCTGGAAAACACAAAGTGAAGGCCCGAAAGCTCCCAAACAGACTCCATCCCTCTAAGGACACCTTCAGCAAACGAGGTTTCCAACAAAAATAGGAACTAGAAGCTGAAGGCTTCAAACTTTACAACAATATGGCACCCACCCCACTCCATGGCCTTAGTTTTGCAAAGTAGTAACATGAACTCCTAGCGTTAAGGAAGAATGTGGAGTTGATAGAGCTTCTCTGAGGGGCCCATGGGACTGGGGCTGAGTCAGGGCTGGGTTCACAATATTTAGGGAATAAAACAGCAACTCAAGATATTTCTACATTCAGAACGAATGAATGAAAGCGAAACCATTTGTTATAAGCACTTACTGTGTGCCAGATGACGTGCTAAGTGCTGAGGATGCAAGCAGAGCCAAGCAAGGGAGGCAGGCCCTATGATCTTCCCTTCTAATGGGAAAGGCACGTATTGTGAGTGGCATGGTTTGGACATGGTCTGGAAATGACATGGAGGCCTGGCTCCAGGCAAGAGGAGACAGAAACTTATTCTCTGACAAAATGAAAGAGAAGAATCTTGGAAGCCCAATTCGCAGGCACTAGATGAGTAGCATTGTATAGCAAAAAGAATACTGAGCTGGAAGGCAAGAGATCTGGGTTCAAATCTCAGCTCCCACATTTACTGGCAAGGGCCTTGGGCTGCCTGCCTCCATAAAACTGGTGGACCTCACAGGGTGCTTATGAGAAAAGTAGTTTAGGAAACCACAAAGGGGTTATTCTAAATGTGAATTATGGCTGAAGAAGGCAAGGCTCCAAAGAAGGCTGGTTCTGCCTGCTGGGCTAGGGACAGGATTTTGTGCTGCTTTCCCTCCCACCATTACATCCAGGCCACAGGATCAAATGAGGCTGTCCTCTCCAGACCCACATACTTACTTGATGCCATCATTAAAGAAATGTGGCTTATCCGCCTGCACAATGACTATATCGAAGAAATCCCTCCACTCCTTGCCCACCATGTACTTCATGCCTTTGTCACTGGAGAGACAGAGAAGAGGATGGAGGGTTGTGGCCTCTCTGCAGGAACAGAGGACTCTCTTCATCGGACACCCACAGCACATTTCGCGTACCCCTCACCTCCCCAACACCCCTTGTCCCAGTGGTTGCTCCAGCCTCTGCAGGATACACTGCAATATGTGACCAGATATGGGGGCAGGGAAGCAGGAGAAGAGGAAGAGCTTTCTGAGTGCCCTTCCCACCCTCACTCTACTCCTCTGGGGACACTCACACAAAGCTGAAGGGGCTGTTGGTGATGAGAAACAGCTTCTTGCCGTTGTCCACCAGACGGCGCAGGACTGCATAGGTCTCTTCACCCCGAAGGATGTACTTTTCTACAAAACACAAGAGCAGGGAGGTCAGAAGGGCCCAGGCAGGGGAGTCTGCATCTCCAGTCAGGCCCAATCTGGAGTCCTGATTCTAATCAAATCCCAAGCTGGGAAGCCCTGGACACTGGGGCAAGTCTTCACATCAAACCTGCAAAGCCCCAGACCCTTTTTGCAGCTCGGGGACAAAACTATTCCCCCACCAAGATCTCACAAGAGCTCTTTTCCCTCAGATTAGTGCATGACTTCTGGGCAGGGGAGGATTGCTTAAGACCAGAACTGAATAAAGCAATCATAAAGAGAAACAGCTCTTAATTATCTTTACCACAGGAAAGAAGAGAGAGAATATATGTGTGCATGTGATGGGGTGCCTGGGTGCCTTGCTTGGACTCCAATTTCTCCCTGGCCTCAGAAACACTATCCCTGGCAGTTTCCCTCCAGCCCAAGGGCCCTATCTCTGGCAATAACTCACGAGTGAGCCCAGTGAGGCAAACTATCTCTCCCTGTTACAAGAACAAGCTGATCTCTGTAGAATTTCCCTTGTATGAATAAGACTATCTTGTACCAGCAGAACTATCAAGTACTGATGCCCGCAGTTACTGTATAGAATCCAGAGGTCAAGCTGTAGACGTCAACTCCTGAAACTATCTTGTTATCAGACATAACAGACCAAAATATACCCTTTAGGAACCCTCTCTTCTCCCACCCCCTCCTCCACGTTTCCAGTAGTGAATGACGTAGTTTTATGTTACCAACTAATTAGTATACTTGGCACATAATCCACTACTTTTCCCAGATAAGCTTTAGCATCATTTCTATTAGGTTGCAAGTTCCCTAAGGAGCTCTGCCACCATGGCAGGTTCCTTAAGGACTTCTGCCCACTGTATAGTGTAAGGATAAATCTTGACTTAAAGAATGCTTGAGTCTGTGAATTCATTCCAGAAGATCCTGTCCCATACTCCAGTCCGTGAGGGGTCTCTAAATCTCTCAGATCTCAACACATGCACATGTGAGAGTCAGTTCAAATGGGACTGGCATTTTTAGGTAAGCTTCAGTCTGATCCACACGACCAAGGAAATGTGGTCCAATTCTCTCTCTGGGTCCCTCTACACACCCACCCACCCACACGCAAACAATACATACGTACACATGGGCGTGCACTCCCTCACTCTCATTTTCAATTTCAGGAGTTTCTACATAGAGTCTGCCCATGTTCTAGGGCCCAAACTCACCCAAGTCCTGGAGGATCCATTTGTACATGAGGCCTTTGATGTGGACATCCCTGATGGCATCCTAAGACAACAAAGGGAGGAAATCTGTAGCTTTAGAAAAGCTGAGGGGGCACTAAAAAAAAACAAACCCAAAACATCCCCCTCATGAAAAGCAGCTGATCCGAAGCTCACTGCTTTAGGGAGTGACCCACAAGGCCAGCAAGTGTCAGAGGGAGGCCTCAATCCAGCTCTTTATCCATTATCCCACAATGAGGTTTGAAGGAAAACACATCTCCAGCTACATTTCAGATGGCAAGTACCAGCCCCCTCCTTAGTCCTAACTTATCAGCTGCAAGGGAGAAGGCAATTCATTTGGAAACAATTCTCCAGAATGCAAACTGTTCTATGGCAGAAACTGAGGCTCAAGATAGGCTTTGGGAGCTCCACTGGCTGCTTCTCTTTAAAAGATCTCCAAAGGGAAGGATTTGTCTGAGGATTGGACAATAAACTCAGAATCAGTGACAGACTTGGGACTTTGTACCTCTGAAGAGAAGTTCTCAATTTATGCCCTCAGGGGACAGAGCTGCCAGAAATCATCTGGGTAAAAAGAAGCAGCACATTCCACATTTCAGGGGGTCAAAGAGCAGCCTTCAAGGTTTCCAATTACATATTCCCAGAGAGTTCCCAGAGAGCATCTGGGCAAGCAAAAGAGGCTCCCAAAAAAGTAAAGGAAAGCAATTATTTGAGTTGGAGGAAAACAAAAGACTCTTACCCCTCTAGTAACCAGAGAGGCAAAAGAATCTGCCTAAGGCTCAAGAAGAGCAACTTATCTGGGGTCACCAAGGGCTCAGAGGAGGGAGTGGAAGGGCTAGAAAAGAAAATGCAGGAGTCTGACAAATACTCTTCAGCAAACTTTGGGTTTTAAATCCCTTTGGCCCTTGTGTGGTTTCCAACTAGGGGCTGTGGTTGGAGAATTGGGATTCCTGCAGCAGTTCTCAAATTATACTCCAGAAAATGACTAAGGAACCCCCAGTGAGCTTTGGTTTGAATGGCTCATATCTATTGATATTTACCATATTAGAAATGAAACACTTTTGTATTAGAATGAAAAGAGTTTTGATATTGAAGACCTCTTGGGGGTCCCTAGACCGTACCTGGAGAACTTTCAGGTCTCAAATGGCAAGACTGGAAGTCAGAGGACTCAAGAGGGTTTGAATCCCAGTTATGCTACTGCCCAAATGTCTTTTAACTTCTCTGCATCTCAGTTTCCTTAAAAGGAGGGTTTTAAACCAGATGACCTCTAAGGTCCCTTCTGGCCTGGAATGTAAATGATCTAATGAGCCAATGTGGCTCCGGCTTGTGCTTGTTCAAAATATCCTTGGGACCCAAGGTTTGGGGCTTTTGATTCAGCCTAGACTCGCTCTAGAAAGGACCCCACTTCTTAGAGCAGTGACAGAAGCAGGAGTGAGGGGGCCACCAAACCTTGGGCCCCACATTTATTGGAAATAGACAGGCTGCTCTGCAGACTGGAAGAGAAGGCAGGAGCAACAGGGTGTGCCAAGCCAGGCCATCAGAGCACATGTAGGGAGAAAGAAGACAGAACCTCACCTACTCCAAAGTCTGCCCTAGCTCTTTCCCGGTCAGAAAACAGGAGAGTATATTTAGCAGAGAGTTGATGTAGCCTTGAAAAGTAATCAGGATACATGATGGCAACATGCATAGACCCAGAATTTCAGAGAGTGTCAGATAAGTAAGAAACATGAGTAGAAAAGTACTGGACACAGGGATGAAGAAAGGGTATGGGTATGGGGAGAGGGGTGAGGGAGAGAAGATAAAAGGGAGAGAGAAAGGAGAGGAATGGAAGAATGGGGAGGGGAAAGAAGAGAGAGGGGAGAGAGGAAGAGAGAGAAAGGGGGGAGAGGGGAGGGGAAGGTGAGAGGGAGGAGGAGAGAGGGAAGAGAAGGGAGGAGAGAGATGGGGTGAGAGAAAAGAGGGATGAGGGAGAGAGGGGGCAAGGCATACAATGGGGAGAGAGAAAAGAGAGAAGGGGGGGAGCAAAAGTGAGAGTGAGAGAAAGAAAAGAAATCGAAGAGACTAAGGGCCATTCACTTAAGCTACTCCCCTTTCTCTGATGTCCCAACCTAACCCTCTAGGAAGGGACTTCAGGTCATCTAGTCCAGCCTGACTTCATATCTGAACAACAATGTCCTAATGAAGTGGAGAGCCTCTGCTTGGAAACCTCTGATGAAGGGGAAATTCTCTCCCTTTTGATGTTCCTGGCCCCTTGGCCCCTTCCCCCGCTTGCTAATCCTGGTTTGGCCTTCCTTCTTGCCACTCCAAGTCTTCTCTCCTCTGTCCTTACTCCTTTGATGGAGCCCTCGGATGGCTTCCAGTCCTCTTACCATCCTGGCTACCTTCCTTCAAATCCTCTTAATGTTCATCCAAACCTTCCTAAAATGGAGCACCCAGGCCCAATTCCCAGCCCCTGGATTTGCTCTGACCACAAAAGTGTGAAGCCCAACATGCCTGTCAGGCCCTCTTTACCGGTCTTCTGTGTAGCCGTGGGTGCCTGGGTGAGGAGGGAAGGGACTGAGGAGGTTTGGGGGTTTTGGATCCTTAGCATCTCGCACATGCATCGGCTGAAGTGGTGGCCTTTTGGAGGGTCACTTTGTGGGAGGCTGAAGTGAGGAACAAGAACCAAATCCTTCCCAGTTGGGGGTTCCAATTCCATTCCTCCTCTCTTAGGGCCAACTGGCAGCTCCCTGCCTCTGTCCAGCTCACTAAAAAACCTAAGCCCAGAAGTGTGGGCTAGAAAACCAAATGGAAAGGTTGACTTTCTGCCTGGGAAATTACCAAAGGTTTGCTCGTCTCACTGAGGGGAGGAGCTGTAGTGGTTTCAGAGGGGTACAGAGGTGGGGGGGAACTCCAAAAAAGGCCTCTCTCTTCTCTAGCCTGTCTTAACCTCCGCACTGAGCTCACTGGGCAGTGACATTTCTATGGCCTTCCAAGCTTCAGAGCTTCCTTGGCAGCTGTTTCTAAAAGATAAGAGAAAACGGCCTGTGCTCAGGGTTCCTGCTCTCCTCTAACAGAACAGTTCGTTCTTTCCCAAGTTCATGTTAAGAAAGATATAGAAAAATGCAAACTTATCTAACCCCCAGCTACCCCTCCAGGGGAAGAGATTTTGTCTCTAAGAAAATAGCCTGTGTTTTGCTCTACGCCATTCTGCACAATAGCCTAGCCTCCCCTAAGAAAGGACATAAAGGAGGGCAGGATAGAACCTTCCATTTCTCGGTCACACAGGTAGAAATTAGGGAGGGAGACACCCCTCACCCTCAAAAAACCCCCCCTCATCCTTTCCATGGGTCACGCCACAAAATCGGGTCTGGGGCTCTTCAGGAATCAATAGATACCAAGAACTTCTCTGGCAGAAATGACCAGCCTCTCTCCTGGAAACTATTTCTCAGAAAGAGTAACCTTCCTCTTCTAAGAAAAGTGACGTGGAAGAGAGGTTGCAGCTCCACTAACTCTGGGAGGCGAGACCTTTCCCTCTGACACTTCTTTCTGGCACTGGAGCCCTGCAGCACCATTCCCATGCACCCCCTCCATCTTCCCAGCCTTACTTCAAGCATCTCCTCTCATTTGGATGTCTGAATAGTTGCCTTCATTGCCTCCAGTTTCTTTCCTTATTTATACCCTATACACTCCCTCTCCCAAATGAACACTTCTCTTCAAAAACCTGTAAGGGTTCACTACTGCCTAACAAATAAAGTAAAAAAAAAAAAAGACTCGAGAGCTATAAGCAACCTTAGAAATCTAGTCCTAATGCCAAGGTAAGGAAATGAAAGTTCAGAGAGTTTAAAGACTTGAAGTTCCTTAGCCTAGAATCCAAAGCCTCTACAAATGGAGCCTGAAGGGCTGTTGCAAGTCTTACCTGACACTGCTCTAGGACCCTGCCAAACTCTCAGTTCCTGAAACATGCTCTATGGTTTTCGACGTCCATCCTTTGGTTGATACCACCATTAATGACCAGTGTGCACGTCTTCCAAGGCCCTGCTCACCACTCAAATACCACCTCCTTTAAGAAGCCTCCCTTTATTTCCTTGCTCACAGTCCCCTCTCCTTCCTCTTTATTTGCCAGTTCTTTGGTCTATCTGTGGTCTATCTTTGGCGGCCATTATCTGAGCCCCTACCCTGTCCTGCTGCAGCCCAGGAACCCTTCCAGAGCAGGGACTGGGCCCGACTCATCTTTGTACCTGGTGCTTGGCACAGCACCTCCAATACAAGCATTCATTGGTGCTTGCAGGAATGTGGGAATCCTTCATTCCTCTCCCTTCACCCCAGTCAGTCATTGCATTTTGTTCATTCTCTCCTCCTTCCCATTCTCATGGGTACCATCCCAGTCCAGGATCATCATCACCATCATCATCATTCAGGCTAGACTAGTCTAACAACTTTTGAGATGGGTTCCCTATCTCTCTGCTTAGCATCTTGGGCTTTAGGAGAATCTTTCTAAAACCACCCTTAGCAGGTAACAACTTTGCTGACTCCCCCTCCAATCCCAACCCCTGAGTATAGTCTAAACTCACTAACTTATCTCCTATTACTCTCCTACATAAACCAAATTCTCTGACTAGTCACTGTCTTCAATTCCCTGGCCCTCACCACTGCCTTACATACATATGTCATGGCGCCTTTATTTAAGCTGGTCCATCCATTTGCACTGCCCTAATTTAAATCCCTGACCTTTCCTTTGAGGTTCTGCTCCTTGCAGGAGCCTTCAGTGAACACCCCAGCCCCTGATGACATCTTTTGATTGTCTAGTGCACCTACTGTCATAGCAGCACTGGCACTTAGAATATACAATAACAAATATGAAATAACAAAAAGGAAAATAAAATAAAGGATGCAACGATATGATCTCCCCACCAGGATGCTACATCTTCAAAGGTAAGGATGTTGTCTTATGCCAGCACACTCCAGAACAGGTGCTCCATCAGTGTTCCAGTAGGGCATTAACATGGTATCCATGTACTACAGAGAAGCAAGTCACTACTCTCTCAGAGCTCTGGCCTCTAGGCATAACCCCAGCGACTGATGGAAAAGAAAGCTCATTCCATTGGTAGCCATGAAATGACTGAAGGCTGAGGATCCAGTGTATTCAACAGCTGAGAGTTTACCTTTGGCTCAGATGGAATGCATGAAGCCCCAATCTCTACAACCTTGCTCAAGAGGAATTCAGGCTGGAAACCACCTAGGGAAGAAGACAGGTATGCAGGAGGAAGCATTACCGTGACATCCTTATAAAGGTGGATGGGGTCATAATCAATGTCATTGGAAATGAAGAAGTCATTGGCCACTGCAAGGAGGGTCATCTCAGGAAGGGAAAAGATGTCCATGAATTGCTTCACTGCTGGTCCCTGAGAAAGCCAGGAAAGGAAGAGAGGGTAAGATGCTTGGAGGAATAGGTGTTAAGTATCTTGCAATGGAGCCCTGGAAAAGTGACAGAGCCATGGCTTAGGATTCCTCACCAATGACAAGAGATACAAGGCAGGTGGCTTTACTAACAACTGCCCATTCACCTCCTTGACGCCCAAGGTTTCTGTTCTGACAATAGCTCCAGAAATGGCAGCCTCCAGAAACTACCATAGGTTCCAACCCATCCATATCCAAAGTTCCTGTTTTTGAGGTTGCTGAGTCAGTCAATGATGGACAGGTACTAGACTCCCCTCACTACAGGCACCTAACTACCTCGATCCCCAAGGATTTCTTTAGCTAACAAAGATGCAAATCAAATTCCTCTCTCTCTCCATCATACCTGGTCACTTTGGGGAACAGGCTGGGTGGCAGACACCAGCGGGTGTGTGCACAGGGGAGGGAGGTCTCCAGACCTGTCTACTTGCCTTTAAGCAGCATGAATATCACCAGCAAAGCATAGGCTGTCTAAAACTCCGAGCTAGTGTAACACGGAGGTCCAGGGAGATGAGAATCTAACAGGAATAAGAGTTCCCTTGAGGAACAGGCTTGACTAGGAAGCATCAGAACCAGATTTGTGATGCAATAGAGAGTGCTGGCCTTGGAGTTAGGACATTAGGTTTTAAATCCTGACCTTTCTCTGAGGAAAGGTGAGCAGGAAGGTAACTCCTGATGTAGAGGCTTGTGGGAAGGACTGCACCTTGGGTAAAGTCCAGTCTTTAGACTGTTTAGTTACAAAAGGCTATAGATGAGTGAGCCAAGAGTGATCACAAAAGCCAATTTCCCTGATGCCCCACTCCCACCCTTTCCCTTCAATTATTATTAGACTTACCCTCAGGGGAGGGAGGCTCAAGTCTCTGTCAACTCACCTTGCCATAGAATCCGCTAACCTGGTGGAGGGGGATGTGATGTGTGCCTTGATACAACTCAGTCACTTCTTCATCTGGGACTGGCTTGAGGCCCCTAGGAAAGATTACAAAGAGCAAACAAACCATGAGAGAAAAGGTGGAGATGCACAGACCATTTGAAAGAATGGATAATTGTGGAGAGGGAAAAAAAAACATTCTGGAGCAAGGGATCTCTTCCAGATGTACATCTGCAAGCCTGGGTTTGCCAATCAGCCTGTCCTTGGTGTCCCAATGTGGGCATGTCTGAGCAATGAGGAAATCAAGCCAGACTGGGGAGAAGATTCATACCTTCTGGTCAAAAGTCATCATCCATTCTCAGAAAAACAAAATAACCATGTTGGCAGCGAAGGGAAATGGATTTCTGTCAGCTTTAACTGATTCCTCTATCTATGGGACTCTGGGACTCTTCCGTATAGGATACGGAAGGGAAGTGGATATCTAATAGAGCAAATGAATGAGAGCTAACCTACACTAATACCCCAATGTCTCTAAGACAACACTCCTGCCCACAAAACAATGACTATATCCTCATGGAATTTTCACTTCTCTATGTGTTAGATTTTTTTTTTGCCATTTAGCAAAATTCTGAGGCCACTATTGTGTGTCCACCTCTCCCCATATGCCCCATTCCTGAAAGTCTCACCTGTATACGGTGCCCAGCTGGATGTAATGGAAGGCATCGATCTTCATCAGTAAGCCCTGGATAAGCCCAGTGGGAAGAGACTCAATAAGTACATGGAAAACCCACCAAAAGAATTTTCTGAGAGGTCACCTTACCTTACCTAGACACTTTTTTGCAGAGAGATGGAAGGATGAAAAGTAGGCAAGGATACACCCTAACTCCCACCAAGGTACTCGACCAAAGCAATCAGAGGGGCCTTACCTTGGGAATGTCATAGTGCAATCCTCGGATGGCAAAGTTTGGTAGGTAGTCATATTTGCGGATCCCTTCTGGATACTACAAGGAAAAAAAGAGAAAATTATCTGCAAGAAGAAAGGAAGTGGAAGAGGAATGAGGAGGCACTGCTCCTATATTGCTGTCTCCAAAAAATGGCACTGCAAGCCAAGCTCTATCTAGTCTCAGTTCAGAGACATGGGGCCTTCAGCAGCGTGTCAGCCACGACTAAGGAGCGTTAATACTTTCTGCTTCGTAGAGTCTTCACTTGTGTTCTAGAAAGTGGAGATGAGGAGGCAGTAGGGAAAAGAGCCAGAATGAAAACCATTTGCCTTTTGAAAGTGGCCATAATGAAAAGCACCAAAACCACCTCATAATTCAATCATTAAACCTCTTCTTAGACTTAAGAGGCAGTTATTTTAGAAGGTGATAGTGTTGATGTCTCTCTGTCTCTCTCTCTCTCTCTCACACACACACACACATACACCCTATTTTGCAGATGAGGAAATTGAAGCTCAGGGAGGTCAAAGTGATTTGCTGTGGGTGAAGCAAACCAAAGTCAAACCTGGGATTTGCAACAAGGTCTTCTGCCTCTACTTCTCCAGTGCCATAAACATATAAGTATCCCACACGCCCCCTGAGAGCAAGTCTCCAAAGATTCCCTTTGCTTACATTTAGGGAGATTTATATAACCTCCTCCCTTCCTTGTCCCCCTCAAAACCAAACCAAACTAGGCAACTGGTCCGACTCAAACTTTGTCATCAGGCTGGATGGTACCTCAAGAACCAATGAAATTCCAAAGAGTCAATGACATGTTATGTATTCATCAACATGCATGCTTTGCACTTCCCAAGTGGGACAGTGAGGGCCAGGCCACTGACCAGGTGGGAAAAGTCCTCCCTTACCTTATACTGTTCCACCAAGATGTCCCTGGCAGTGTTGTAAATCATGGAATGGAGGGAGTTGGAGTACAGAGCCAGCGTGTAGTCGTAGTCAAAACCATAGATCTCAATGTCAGCCAGGCACACCTCATTGTTGGCGTAGATGGTGGAAGGGTTCAGGAGGTTACACACACCAGGGGGGAGCAGATCTGAAAGCCCAAAATATGGGACAGACAGGAGAATTTAGGGAAAGCTCCTGCCACCAAGAGGATATACCTAATCCTGAGTCATGGTAGAAAGTGGCAGCAGAGAGACAGAGAGCGGATAACAAATATTCTGGGGTTTGCTTCTAGGGCCTAGCAGAGCAAATTGCTAGGTAATTATGGATTAGTAAATCATATGCATTTCTAAGCTCTGTAGGCCTTCACTTCTACCTCTATAAAAGGAGAGAGCTGAACTTTGTAAGGCCTCTTGCAACTCAGGATACTAGTGCAGTATTTCTCAAGTAAGTGGTGCCCCAAATGCTTTACTTCTCGTTGAATGGAAAAAAGAGGGGGTATTTATAACACAATGCTAGGCACAAAGTGAAGTTTTCAGTACCAAGACTCCTCCAAAGACAAGAGATTGGGGGAAGCTGCCCAACATCTAATTTATTAACTGCAGTACCATCACTAGACACCTTGCTTCCCAAGCATTTGTATCACATTCTGAAAGCTTAAAGCATTTCTATCACAATATCTTATCATGCAGTTCCTAATGTCTAGATCTAGGAGCTCAACCAATCCTTTCATGTTCTGCTTAAAATTAATGTAATCCTAAGATACAATGCATTTTGCACTGGTACACACTTTCCTGAAACAGTTTCTTCTTGATGGAAACTCACGCTGTGTCATTCCTGTGATGAATAACTTCTTCCCAACTTCTTTTAAGCCTCAGAGAAACAGCAGTTTGATACAAACACAGCCTTTCAGTACAACCAACACTGAGATAGCAGGAACCAGGAATCAAAGAAATGATCGTCCTCAATCCTGGCTCTTTCCATCACCAAATAACCAATGCTCCCAGAAACGCTTCCTCTAAGAGTGCTCAAGGTCTAGTCTTCACTTTCTTTATAGTGACGATGGAAATGTTAACTGTTTGCCTGCTCGTTTTGTGTGATTTGCCTAGAGAAAACCACAGTTCCTCCCTGACATATTTTCAGGACCCACAGTTAGCTGCTTAACTCAGAATAGGCAAGTGCCCTATTTTTCCTGGTACAAACTAGACTGGTAGGTGAGTGACCATTCTTCTCATCAGGAATTTGAGTTGCATTCACTTTTGCCACAGAATTCAGAGAGGAGCTCCAAGATGGAGGCATGTGCACACTGAGGTTCTTTCAGTAAGGAATTCATTAAGAATTCATTTAGAACTGAACTGCCTGCAAAGTGATTCCATGTGGTTTCCCCAACTACAAGCCTGGAGTCTGAGCTTCCTGTAGGACGTGCAGAGCCAGGAGGCAGCAAAGCCTCTCAGCCAAGGAGGCCAAGACAGAAGAGACAAGCCATCCAATGGTGTCCAAAGTGCAGGCAGGAGAAATTTCTGGAAGCATTCCCAATTCTCCTTCTCTGTGGGCCTTCTTTCTCTACAGTTCCTCTCTGAAACGAGTCAAAGGGATTGTGAGAGCTGCAGAGTTAGGGTTATACTGAAGGCAAATGAAGAAGGAAGGGACTCTGCTCTTTCAGAATTTTACCTTGGAAATCTGCTGACAATAACATGCATGTAGATTCTTAAATTACTCTCATATACATTATATGCTTATTTTTGAGAAATATATTCAGCCCTCCTACCCAATCCATCGGATTATGGGGAATTCCTTTGCCTAGGGCCCTCAAGAAATTAAGTCCCAGTAAACAGAATTTCAAAACTAAGTTGGGTCCCAGATGTCCAAACATATGGGGGCCCTAAACAAGAGAGGTAGAAACAGGCACCAAGACTTCCAAAAGCCCATCTGAAATGTAGAGCCTTCAATAGAGTGAGGATTAATTAGTATGGGAGAGGTCTATACACTAGGAAGAGGTGGTCTGAAGCTGGGCCTCTTATTTACAGAGACTTACAATCTCTACTTTTTAAAATTTTTTTATTTTTAGGCAATTGGGGTTAAGTGACTTGCCCAGTGTCACACAGCTCGTAAGGGTCAAGCGTTTGGTCTGAGGTTGGATTTGAACTTAGGTCCTCCTGACTTCAGGGCCAGTGCTCTATCCACTGTGCCACCTACCTGCCCCTTATAGTCTCTACTTGCAAAACTAGAAAAGTGATCTTGGGTTAAATCACTCCTCTCCTTGCCTTGAATTCTTTCCCAGTAGAATGAGGGTGACAGAACAGACTATCTCCAAAGGCCCTTCTAGGAGCAGAAATGGCATGGTCCAATTGCAACTAGATTATTACCCTCCAGTTGCCAAACCAAGAGCTTTATGTGGCCACATCCTTGAAATTCATTTTTTTGGGACTTATTATTACCTGCTTGGCTCATACCCTTCTCTTTCCCCAGAGAGCTAATAAAAAGTTACAATATCAAAAACCAAAATTAGATATGACAATTGTCAGCACAGCAGATTGACCAAAAGCATCAGGTAGCCCTGGGTTCCAGTAATGCCTCTGCCTCATGCTGGTCCTGTGACCTGTTGTACTAGGCATTTCACTTCTCTGAGACTTGAAGGTGCAAGCTGATCATTGCTCTGCATTGGTATGGGGGGATTCCTTACTAGAGGTTGGCAAATGGGCTAAATTCAACTCTAGCCTGTTTTTTTTTTTAAACAGCTAGTGAGCTAAGAATGGTTTTTATATCTTTTTGATAAAACAAAATTTTATTTACAAATATAAAAACTGGGCTGTACCAAAATCAGCAGTGGGCCAAATTTGCTGTACCCCAGTTCTGCTGTACTCTGCATACCAATAAAAGACGAGAGTTGTTTTTAAAAACAGAGTTGTTATTTTCAAACTGAGAATTGGAAAATGAATCTCTATGGATTCTTTCAAAATGGGTCTTTCTTGTTATTTACAGAATCAAATACACTTTCCCTATTGTACTGAGTCAGACATAGTTCTTCTTTGTTTGACTTGTCTCCACTTTTGGAACATGTGCTAGTGGATACGTGTTATAGAGAAAGGAAACAAATAAGATTTCATTTCTAAGCTTTAAGTTTTCCTAAAATATCACACTTCTCAATTAGGAAAGCTGTGGGTAAGGGTGCAGGGTTCTCTCTATTTGAGTGAAAAGCAACAAGCAGTTTGTTCCACCAGCCTGAAGCAAAATGCCTGAGAGAATAAGCTCTTCCGGCCCCTGCCCCCACCCCCTCTCCCCTAATTTGCTTTCCAAAACACTTGGTCATACTCCAGAAGCCCGAACAACTGGCCTGTTACAAGCATACCATTCTGAAGCCCTCCCAGTAGGGTTTGGAATGTTCTCAGAGTTGGGTAGCATGGAGCCTCCAGTACAGAAAACTGCCAACGGAGTGTTGCCACTCTGGCTTTCTTCTGTGCTTGGGGCTCCTACACCCATGGGCTGTCAAAGCACATGGAGGCAAAAGAAAGATGACCTTAGGTGGAAAGAGAACAGGTCAATTAAGTTATAACTTTTTGGATGTTATGCCCTCCTTGGGCAGGCAGTCTAGTGACTAAAGACACATTCTAAAGAACGTTTTAAAATGAGTAGGATTACAAAGGAAACCAATTATTGAAATGCAGTTTTAAAAATATTTTAAAAACAAGTTTATGGACCCCAGGTTAAGAATCTTTGAAGTAGAGGGATAGTATTGTCAGGGAGCTGTAGAGACCTGAGCTCCAGACTCAATACTTCCCTGAGATTTACTGGGGAAAGCAGGGCAAGGCCAAGCCCTTAGACAACTTAAAAATCTTTCTGAGCTTCAGTTTTCCCATGTCAAATGAGTATAATGCTACAGTGCTCACCCACAGGGCAATGTCAAGGAACGAGTAGGTTTTAGCAGGCTCTCAACCCAGAATTGTGTAGATATTCTCACCAAGACCAAATGAAATTTCCATAGAGCACTTTCTAGTTGGCAGAGCGCTTTCCATGCAGCATTTTCTTTGTGCCTTAGTGAGGTGGGCTGATCTCTGAAGCATTTGGCACTGCAGACCCCCTCCGTCTTCTCAGACATTTCTTCTTCCCTTGTTCTCTTCCTTCCTGTCTGGTCACTCCTTGTCAATTTTTGTTTTATTATCAGGAATGGCTCAGCCATGGCTATCTCCAAGGTTCTCTCGTGGGCCTTCTCTTTCCTCTATCTACATTTCCCTTCTCTATGATCTCAGCATCTACCCTGGATCTACTTATCATCTCTAATAGATGACTCCCAGATTGAAATAACCAACCTTAGTTTCTTGAACTCTACTCCTGAATCATCAACTGCCTAGAAGAGATCTCCAGTGGATGTCCCTAGGTAGCACAAATTCAATGTCCCAAACAGAACTATCTCCCCCCCCCCCACCCCGCAAGACTCTTCCTTCTTCCCAAGTCACCTGGGTTTAAAGCTATGTAGGGATCCTCAACTGGTCATCCTCCTTCACCCCTTCTTTTCAATCAGTTTTATCTCCACAACATCTTACATCTGTTCCCTCCTCCTCCTGTGGCCACAGGCCCTGGTTCAAACTGTCAGCACCAATCACTTGGACTACTGCAATAGTCCTCGACATCTTCCATGAAGCTAGCCAAATGATACTCATAAAGCACTTGTGTGACTTGTGATATTATTGCTCTGCTCAAGAAATTCCAGCGGCTTCCTATTGCTTCTAGGATCAAACACACACCTCTTGGTTCAGCTTAAGCCCTTCACAATCATTACTACTGCCTACCTTTCCAGACTTAGCACATTCCCCTCCCTTGACATTCTGGCCAGCTATATATAACACTCCATCTCCTGGCTCTGCACTTTCCCTATGGTTAGAATTCAGTCCCTTCTTGCCTCTGCTTCATGGAATCCCTGGCTACCTACAAGGAGGTTGGCCTCCCCAGTTTAGAGTATCTTGGGGGAGGGGCTATGGGGAAGGGAAAGGAAGAAGTATTTATTAAGAAGCAATCTAAGTGCCAGGCACTATGCTAAGTGCTTTACAATTATCTCATTTGATCCTCACAACCACTCAGACATGGCGGTGCTATTATGAACTCCATTTTATAGTTGAAGAAATGGAGGCAGACAGAGGTAAAGTGACTTGTCCAGCGTCACTCAGCTAGTATGTGTCTGAAACAGAATTTGAATTCAGATCTTCCTGACTCCAAACCCAACACTTTATTTGATGTGTTACCTCCCCTTCCCCAGAAACTACTTTGTATATAGTTTGTGCTTAATTTTCTATGTATGTGTTGTTTTCCTCCAACAGAACGTAAACTCCTTGAGGGCAGGTACTACTTTTTTATTGTTGATGTAATAGCCCTAGACCTTAGTACAGTGACTGGCACTTAGTAGGTACTTAATAAATGCTTGTTGTTATAACAGTAGTAGATGCTAGTTACTATTCTCATTTTACAGATGAGGAAACTGAGGTTTAGAGCTTTAGACATAGATTAAGTTGCTTGTTCAAGGCCACACACTTCCTAAGTGACAGAGGTGGCATATGAACCCAGGCCTTTCTGTGTTCAAAGTCCATAATGCAGCAAGACCAATGTAGAACCAATGGCCAAGTCCATTGGTAGCTATGCAATGTCCAAAGAGCTAAAGAGGGCCTTCAGGAAGGGCAGGTCCCTACTCAAGAGTGACACAAGGATCGGAAGGCAAGGGAGAATTCACAGTCACATTTAATCCTGGGAAAGGGAGGAAGGCTTACATTCTCTTTCATAGGATTAGTTGTGAGGGTCAAAGGAGCTAGGTGTTAAGAATGTGTTAGGATTTGGGAAGTCCTAGAGTGATGTGGGTAGTTGTTATTATGGGGTTTGCTACTTCAATGGTTAGAAACAGGCTCAGGGTTATTGGTTCTTTTCCTCCAACCTAACCACATTATTAGGCCTCTCCTCCCTTCACTGCCCCCACAAAGACCCAGAATAGGATTTAAAAAGCTAACAGGCTCAGGAACTTGGTACAGTCTATACGGTTTAAATCCTGTACAATCATCCAGGATCCTAAGAGGATGAATTTCAGAATATATTAGGTGTGATGAGCAACTAAGTAAAAAGCAGGTATATAAGCAGCAAATTACAAGTAAAAATTATCTTAAAAGTAAGGTTATTTGCTCATCTGTTTTAGCTGCTTCATAGATGAAGTTTCCCTCTGACTTTATTTATCAGTCCTTTTTCCAAAGGCAAACAACTTAAATCCTCAGGGGAAAAAAAATAAAAAGTAAAGAAAGATTGACTGGAAAGGCAAAATCTTTCAGTGCTGGGATGATTCAGGGATTCATCTCCTTCAGGAGAAAAATAAACTTTCACATTTCCAGGCAGTTTCCAGAGTTGCCTGCTCCAGCAATAAAATTTGCCAGCAGCTTACTCTCTCACACCCGTCTGGCAGCCAAGTCAACCTCAAACATCCACACCTCAAAGAAGCTTCAGAAGCTGTTATACCTTCTACTTCAATTATATGTACTAGGAGAGGTGCTGAGAAATGCTTCAGGAAGCACGTTCAGGAGTCCTTTTTGTGGGAAGCCTATTTGATTCACTTTTCAATGTGATTAGGTGCTTAATAAATGCTCACTGTGTGGTGAGAGAAAACAGAAACCACAGCCTTCAAATGCTATCTGTGGATCCTAAATTTGAAAGGAGATGAATTTATTCTAGGGTCATCAACGGTAATTTCCCCCAAAGGAAAAAAAAAAGTCAAGGTAGAGGAGGATGCAAAACATTCAAACCTGGTGTCCCACTCCACAAGAACTGCAATACTTAGAGGGGGTTCCCTCTCTCTCATCCTGAACTGAAGAAATTACACTGGGAAAAAGATCACCTTCCTCCCTACCCCCACCCCCAACATTGTAGCTTTCCTCCCATTCGACACTCCATTCAACACCGACAGCATAACCAGACACGTTCACCTCACCATGTGCACGCCCATTGGGTGCTACTGGATGCAGGCTTCACATACAGCATTTCCTGAGACATATAGCAGTACTTTCAAACACTAGAGATAAGAGGAGGGGCAAAGGGGCTTCCTGGTGCTGGGTAAAGAGAGGCACGATGCATCAAAGTTCATAAAGAAAAGGGCAGGAATGGCACGAAGGATTTGGAATCACAGACCCTTCACTCTCGCCTTTTTTTTTCCCATCACTTGCTACTAGTGGGTAGCCTTGGCCAAGTCTGGAGGTTTCTTTTGGGCCTGGAAGGGGCTCTAAGGTCCCTCTCCAGCTCTAAGTCTGTGATCCTTCGGGCCAATCTTTGGGGGGTAGGATACAGTTTGGAATATGCAATGATGCCACAGGTCCCTCATTAATCGGTGGGGGTAGGTACAAGTACCATTTCCCTCTCTTTGTACAGGGCTAGACTGGAAACAAGGAGAGACTCAAGGAAGGGCCCCCGGGGACGGGCTGGGAGTAGGGGGCTGGGCCTAGGCAAAGGGGAAGTCACCCGAGGCCCCCCACCCTCCAAGCTCTACTTCATTTAGCCGGGGAGAGGGGAGAGAGGGAGGGGGAAAGAGAAGAGAGAGAAAAGAGGAGAACGGAGGGAGGCAGGGGGCCGTGCCCCACGCGCTCACCCTGCACCAGGCGCTTCATCTCGTTGTAGCGCGCCCACAGGAAGCTCTTATTGTCCAAGCGGGCGTTGGGGGGTGGGGGGGCCGCCCGCTGCGGCTGCTCGGCGGCGCTGAGGTGGCGGCGGCGGCCTTGGGGCTCGCCGCCCCCCGAGCCGGGTCCCCCGCCCCCCGCGCCGGGCCCCCCGGATCCGCAGCGGGTGCTGAGCGCCGCGCGCACCCCGAGCCGGCCCCACAGAGTCGGAGGAGCCGCGGCCATGGCACCCGCGTACTCAGGCCAACCGCCCGGAGGGTTAGTCCTGGTCAGTCCTGCCCGAGCTCCGCGCGCTATCCCTGGCCGCCACACCCCCAGCTCGCCAGAACCCCGGCCGGCCCCTGCAGCCGCTCAGCCAATGAACGAGTTCCGTGGCTGGGACGCGCCCCGGACGGCCTCGCCCCCGTCCCCGCCCCGGGGCCACAGCAGACGCTCCTCGGAGCTTCGAGTTCTGACGTCCCTACTGATGGGCAAAAGGGCTCCGCCTCTGCAGCCAAGCTCCGCCTCAGGAGCCTCCTTTCCCCAATGGGAAGACGTGGAGGGAAGCCGCTTCCTCGATGATTGGCCGGCCTTCCGTAGCGTCTTCAGGCTTTGTCACGCCTCCCAGCTGCCGAGGAGGTACGTGCGGAGTGTGAGCTGCCTCCCTCCCTCCTCCTCCTCCTGCGGGCACCTGGAGTCCAGCCCACTGCCATCCCCTGCACGTGCACACTGCAGCACCGGGTCCAGCGAGCTGGCACCCCGGCTAGGGAGAGCCTCAGGCTGTGCGATCGAAGGCTCCCAAGCGCGGAAGAAAGAAAGAAGGGGAGGGCCCGGATGCCAATCAGCTGAGTCTGGTCTGACCTGACCTAGCGAAGCCTTGGCTTGGCGTGAACGCTCCCTTGCTCGCTAAGGGGCACAGGCTGTGCCATCTGGAAAAGACCCAAGGGTCCTCCGAAAGTCATTGTACACTCATTATGTCCCGAACCTTGGGCCGAACACTGTGCTTCATGCTGCCCTCAAGGAACTCAAACTCCAAAACCGTGAAGGACGGGAACTGACGTTAACGGAGTCCTTTAAAGTACGTAAAGTGCTTTTTGAGTATGCTCGGTGCCCTCCACTTTCCATTCAGTCCCCGCAAAACAAACTGAGATCTGATTCTGAAGATCACTGGGACCCCCCTCCCCCACTCCCACTCCTGCACTGTCACTTTCTTCTGGGTTCTTTGCTCCCTGCCTCTCCCAAATAACGCATAACTCCAGCCTCTCCGGCATAACTCATGCCTAGTCTTTCCGAAACGGGAATAACAGGGCGTCCTACAGTCTACATGCACACTCAGAATGCAATATGGATATTAAAGAGGTGGGTAGGGGGGAGCGAGGTGGTGCAATGGATAGAGCTCTGGCCTTGGAGTCAGGAGGAACTGAGTTCAAATGCGGCCTCAGACACTTGACACTTACTAGCTGTGTGACCCTGGGCAAGTCACTTAACCCCAATCGCCTCACCAAAAAAAAAAAGGCAAAAAAAAAAACCAACCCAAGTCTTGGACAGGGCTAGTAAATAGGAAGGTGAGGAAATGTTGCTGATACGTTTGACTGAAGCATTTGAGAAAGCATGCCATACTATTCTTGTGGAAAACATGGCAAGATGTGGTCTGTCCTCTAGACAAAGAAACAATGAGATGGACACGAAACTGCTTGAATGGTTGGACCAAAAGAGATTCCTGGTGCTCCAAGGTGTAGGTGGTAGGAGGCTCTAGTGCAGCGCCCCATGAAGCGGTAGTCTGCTCTGTGTTTAATATTTTATCGGTGTCACGGTTGAGAGTCACAAATTAGATGAGCATAGATGGCATGTTCATCCAATTTGTAGATGACACCGAGCTGAGAGGGGTGGCTAACACACTTGGTAACAGAGTCAGAGTCCCCAAAGGTCTTGCCAGGCTCTTAGAGCATTGGGCTGAATGAAATCAAACGAAGATCAATAAGGATACCTATAAAAACCTGATTACAAGAAGTTACTTCACCAGTAAAGGCATGAAAAAGCTCCAGTTTATAAAATATCTGGGGGTTTTACTCAGTGATGTCCCACTAATGTCTAACAACTTGCTCTCTCCCTCTCCCCCCATGAAGATATAAGTACATAAGTTTATGGTAAAATTTATGGATATAAAGGATATGTAGCACACAATTTGTAACAATATTAAAATATGCAACATTCTTTATTGTAAATTCCATATCTCCAAATGATTCTCTCATAACCGATTTCTTTGATTTTTGTAGAACTTTTGTATACCTAGCCAACCTGTGCTTAAAATTCAATTGTGATTGGAGGAATGGAGTGACATCCCAATCTGCTAACTCTTTTCCCACTACATTTATTGTCATTAAATCTGCTATGTGATCTACAATTAAACGATTTCTCACCTTTGTACAAAGTATATTTGTTAAACTGAAACCTTTTACATCTTCAGCTGTACTCACTGCAATAGTGCTAACTATCCTTTTAGCTTTTTGTGGGGATTGGAACATTGATTCTACATTGCTATTTTTAAAATCCTCAAAATCATTCAAATGAACTTCATCTTTTAAAATTGTGCTTAATGACAATTTTTTTTCCACCAGCTATCCATGGTGAAGTGAGTTCTTCATAAGGCCACCTACATAGTTCTAATAAATCAAAATAAAATGCTTTCATTGACTGAGTCAAATTTATAAGAATACAAACCATTCTTCAATTGATAAATGGTCAAAGGATATAAACAGGCAATTTTCAGACAAAGAAATCAAAATTATCTATAGTCACATAAAAAAAATGCACTAAATCACCATTGGTTATAGAAATGCAATTAAAATGACTTTGAGATACCATCTCTCACCTATCAGATTGGCTAATATGACAAAAAAAAGAAAATGATAAGTGTTGGAGGGGATATGGGAAAACTGGGACACCAGTGCACCGTTGATGGAGTTGTGAACTGATCCAACCATTCTGGAGAGCAATTTGGAACTATGCCCAAACTGCTGTGCATGCCCTTTGACCCAGCAATACTCCTACTAGGTCTGTATGCCAAAGAGATTAAAAAAAAAAAGAAAAGGGAAAAGACCTAGATGTACAAAAATATTTATAACAGCTCTTTTTGTGGTGGCTAAGAATTGGAATTGAAGGGATGCCCCATGGCTGAACAAGTTGTGGTATATGATTGTGATGGAATACTAATGTACCATAAGAAATGACAAGTAGTGTATGGTCTGATGCTGAGTGAAGTGAGCAGAACCAGGAGAGCGTTGTACACAGTAACAGCCAGGTTGTTCAATGACTAATATTGATAGACTTAGCCCTTCTCGGCAATGCAAGGATCTAAGGCATCTCAAAAGGCCTCATGATGGAAAATGCTATCCACATCCAAAGAAAGAACTGTGGAGTTTGAATGTAGATCGAAGCATACTATTTGCTATTTTGTTTTCTTCTGTTGTGTTTTGTTTCCTCTTTCTGGTGGTTCCTCCTATTGGTTCTAATTCCTACTTACAACATCACTAATGTGAAAATATGTTTGATAGGAATGTATATGTAGAGCCTATATCAGGTTGCACACTGTCTTGGGAGGAAGGTGAGGAGGGAGGGGGAGAAAAATTTAAAACTCAAAAGCTTATGGAAGTGATTATTGATAAATCAAAATAAATTAATTAAAAAAAGAAATGACAAGTAGGATGATTTCAGAAAAACCTGGAAAGACTTACATGAACTGATGCAAAGTGAAATGAGCAGAACCAGGAGAATATTGTACATGATGACAGCAATATTATATGATGATCAACATAGCTGTTCTCAGCAATATAATGATCCAAGACAATCCCAAAGGACTCGTGATGAAAATACTATCTTCCTCCAGAGAAAGAACTGATGGTGTCTGAATATAGAGTGAAACACACTTTCTTTCTTTCTTTCTTTCTTTCTTTCTTTCTTTCTTTCTTTCTTTCTTTCTTTCTTTCTTTCTTTCTTTCTTTCTTTCTTTCTTTCTTTCTTTCTTTCTTTTTTTCTTTTTTTTTTTTTTTTTTTTCTTTTTTTTCTTTTTTCTTTTTTTTTTCTTTTCTTTCTTTCTTTCTTTCTTTCTTTCTTTCTTTCTTCCTTCCTTCTTTCCTTCCTTCCTTCCTTCCTTCCCTCCTTCCCTCACTCCCTCCCTTCCAAGTTTTCTTCCACAAAATGACTAATATGGAAAGGTTTTACATGATTGCACACATATAATCTATATCAGATTGCTTACTATCTCAGGGGGAGGGGAGCAGAGGGAGGGAGGGATAGAATTTGGAACTCAAAACTTAAAAAAAATGTTAAAATTGTTTTGACATGTAATTGGGGGAAAATAAAATATTGTCAAAAATAAAATACTTTCATTGTTGTTTCTATCCAATAAAAGACATAAGTTCATATGTTTAATTATATTTTCTAGTAACATATTCCTAGGAAGAACATTAATTTGATGATTTTCATTAAATGGAATATCTTTAAACTTATCTGATGACTGAAACTTCAGTTTGAGATTAATGCTTCCGGTACCAATCTTTGAATTTTCCAAAGCTCTTGTGGTGCATTCATTGGATTAAGTTTTGCACTTTCTGGAAGTTAGGTGATCCTCACTACAATACAAAGTTAGGGAAAATTCTTCAAGCCTGTCAATCATGAAAACAAAGTCTAGCAAGAAATTAACGTTAGCTTATCTCTGTGCCCAACACAGCTAAGAAGGTGAGTGCACATATGGACTGCAGGATGTGGGTGCCAACCAGTGGTTCAGGCCCAAGATGGACCAATTTTAATCATTTCAAGTTCTTTAGCTACAGTTTCTAGCCAAGTTTGATTTTTATTAGATTGGTGAGAAATAGAATAAAATTAAATCCAGGAAGATTTTAAACTGATTAACTTGTTTTATTTCAGATGTTGAATCTTCAAGTGATCATTTCAATTGATGATTCAAACACGGCCACATGATGATTTTAGGAAAATTTTCTAACAGCTTGGTAGCTACTCCAGGCTTTCTTCCCAGCATTGTATTAACACCATCCCAGTGAAATGCAGTTCAGTCCACTTTCAAATATTCATTATTAAAGCCGGGTCAAGAAAACATTAATGTATTCAAAATACACGGTGCTATGGTTGACACCAGTTCTTTTAAAGCAACAGGTAACATAACCAGTGTGGGAGCTAATTGAATTGTGCACTGACCAGCTTGGGAAAATTCTTGAAAATTTAACAATTGGCCAGTAGGAGCTTGCTCCCACACTCCACTGGTTTAACCAGACAGCCAACTTCCTGTGAGTCAGCAGTGTGATATGGCAGCCC